TAGAACCCTTAGCATAGCACTAATGCTTCGGGCGGACTACTTAAATAGGCAACCAAAAGTTGTACGTGTGACTAGTTATACTCTCGTTATACTGATATAATATGTAAGCTGTTTTCGGACAGCCCACCCGGTTGAACTAATAAAGTGCCAGGGGCCTAAGTGGTCACCTCAATATTAAAAAAAAAAAAAAAAAAAAAATTACTTGATAGAATTCATTGTTTATTTTTTTATAAGATTTTTTTACTTTAGATTTCTCAATTTCTACAGAGCTAAATAATATATCAGGCTTTTCTAATTTTGTTAAAATCTCAGATATTTTATCTTTTTGTTTGTTAAGTAATTCTTCCAAACTGTCTAAATGTTTTGTTAGCGAATTCAGTTTAATAGAATTTTTCTATGCAACTTGCAATATCTTAGTTAAAGTGTATGAATCAATGGTAATTGCTAATTATTATAGAATTAATTTAGTATTGTATTAAAAAAAAACAAAAAAAGCTTAATAATTAATACTTACGTTCATCTTGAACAGAGAAGTTAGAAGGAGGATGAGGTATAACCACTTTAGGAGGAGGAGGTAAAGTTCTTTCAAATGGTTCTATATTAAAAGGTGGTCTAACCTAGTGGTAATATAACTACAAAGTATCAATGTAAAAATAGAGCTATAAGAAATAATTCTTAAATTATAATAGATAATACTTCACTGTTGGTGAAACAGATAAAATGGGTAGTTTGGAGTTCGGTCGTTTTAATTGTTTCAAAGGTTTTGGAGTTTTGAAATTCAGTCATTTGGATTGTTCCAAAACTTTTGGAGGACCAGAGACCGATTTCTTGAATTGTTTTGAAACATTTGGAGGACCAGAGATTGATTGCTTGAATTGTTCTGAAACTTTTGGAGTGCCAAAAACTATTTGCTTAGATTGCTCTGAAACTTTTGGAGTTTATAAATTAAATTTTGTTTGACTGGAATTAAGTAAAGTATCAGAAGTTCTCATTTTTTTTTGTATGCTAGTTGCCAAACTACTCATATTAGCTTCAGTATCTTTAATAACATATTTGGAATAAATTTGAAATAATTATTTAATATATATATAAAAACATATGCTAAAATTTCTTATATCATTTTGTTCTGATTTCTAAATAAAGTTAATAAATATAGTTTAATATATTTGTATTAATAAATAATGTATAAAATATTTTGTTGTCTCTCATTTTTTCTCAGTAATTAATTTCTTAATATTATTTGGTTCATAATTTAACTACCTTGCTGAAAATTTAATCTTCTAGTTGATCAACACTATATATATAATGTGTAGACGAATAAAAAGATATAACAAAAAAAAATAAGAGGCAACATTAATTATAATACCAACTTTTTCTTAATTTCATCTTTTAGGTTATTGTAATACATTAAGATTAGATGTGTTGTTATCTGAAGTCTTGGTTTTGTTCATGGCTAAGAAAATATAGAATGTGATAAAAGCATATAGAAGAAAAAAATCCTTTTATTTATTAATGGATAAGATTTAGGTATACTATCAGTAGTATATTGTACTACATTGTGACACTTTTCAAAGGCGATTATCTAGTAATTTTAAAATTATAATTGTATTTTTAACAACTTT